TCTCGGATGAAAATGCACTTGCAGAGACACAATTATGAAGAAAAATGCCATAAAATTGCAATTTTCTCCCGTTATATAGTTTTGGATGCAAATTTCCATCAGAAAATCGGATAGAGCTTTACTTGTTTCATATGTGTACCAAAAATCAGCTAATTCCATGTGGTGGAACGTTCTCATATCGCCGCCTGAATGTGGTTGTAAATTGAAAGAAAAGGGGAAATGAGTAACAACCTTGTCTGAAACCCTATTATATAGCTTATTATATACAAACTTTTATATTGAATATCAGAGCGGATATTTTCATGACAGTTTTATGATGTGTAACGACTAAATAAACAGTATCGATATAAAGATTTACACTGAGGACACCCTGATACATGAATACTGTTCTATCTCAAGTTGTCCTCTTCTGAATTTTCTGATCGTGTGGCCTTGTACATTTATCCGTATCTTCTTGTCTTTGTCTATACGTTTACGGAATCATTGACTCGACGCTAGCTATTCTTGTCTCACTTTCCTTGTTTTATTGTCCCATCTCCAAAGCGTTGTGGCTCTGTCAGGGTTGGGACCCTGACTTGTCTCACTTTCTTTGTGCCTGCCGACCACGCCACATCGAATAGATAGATTATCCATATGAAATACTTTATTTTGTTCTAAGTAATCAATCAATTCTGCGCTTCTTGGAGGTATTGAATGTGATTTATTATATTGTCTTGTTATTTTGTGTAATTAGTTGTTCGTTATTTATCACACATTTTCGCATAATTGTACCAAACTACTAAGTATTAGCTGTTTACAGCAATCATCGGTGGCTTGCTATTTTGTTACTTTATCGACGCTTCATAAACCAATCGTTATTGTTTCAAGATGGAGGGTAAATGTGTTGGAGAAGGGTGTCAAGTATACTTCAAGAAACGTAGTGGCAATAAGAACAGAAGTGCACGCAATGTAAATAGTCCACAATATAAATGGCTCCTAGATACGCTGGTGCAACAAGGATTGATGTCAGCAAAGGAACAAGCACTTATTTGCCAGAAGTGCTACATGAAGTATCTTCGGAACAAAAATCAGCCTGAACCTGAACCCGAGCAGAACCAGGAAATAGAGGAAGAAGACGACTCCCCGTCCCATATCCTGCCGTTGCTGACCCTTCATGATCTTTTGAATGGATCATCTTCACACAAAAAATGCTGTCTCTGTCTTGTTACCTTTGCAAGAAATGGAACAAAATCATCAGTCTTACCAAAACGTGCAAGACATCACCTGATCTATTCACACAAACTGTGGTGTCCCACCTCATCCCGCGTCTGCTCCATTCACCTTATTGGTAACGACTTAGATCCGTCTACAGAGGTTGTCCTTGATGGTAGAGGTTCCTTGGAATCTCAGTTACCATCAAAATCGTCCGAAATCATTAATGACCTCCTAGAGGTGTCGCACGTCCTTTCACAGAACCAGTCTGCGTTTACAATAAGCTTTTCTTCTCTTGATGACTCGGCATGCATGGCCTGGACAGGTTGGTCCAAAGATCAGTTCCTCGAAATCCACTCGCACTGTTCCCCATATCTTTCATCTGGTATATATACCAAGACTACACACGATGCTCTATTACTGTTCTGGGTAAAACTGAAAACCGACATTTCCTGGAGTCAGTGTTCTTCTCTTTTTGGAATTTCCAAGTCAAGTGTGTCCAAAACTTTCCACTCCATAGTACAGGCATTAGACACATCGATAGTCCCACAATTTCTAGGTCCGGATCACTTGACAAGAGAACAGTTGCTCGGGCACAATACTGTCTTTTCAGAAGCATTTTTTGGAGATAAAGCCACTGCCATATTAGATGGCACCTATATTTATATCCAGAAAAGCTCCGACCACAAGCTCCAGAGAATGTCCTACTGTGGCCAGAAGAAGAGAAACTATCTCAAATTCATGAGCATCGCCTTACCAGATGGCTACATTCTGGACACAGTAGGACCATTCACTGGCAGCGAAAATGATGCTACAATTACAAAAAAAGTCATGGACAAGCTAGTTACTTGGCTACAACCAGACGACAACGTTGTCGTTGACCGAGGTTTTAGAGATGTCCTACCAGTTCTCGAAGCCTCTGGCCTCAATGCTAGCATGCCGTCATACCTGAAACCCGGTCAAAGTCAACATTCTGACGTCCAAGCAAATCTTGACAGAACTATCACCAAATCGAGGTGGATTGTGGAATCCTATCATGGTCGTCTGAAACACTGGACGTTCTTCCGAACGCAATTGGTGTCTAACAGCTTTATCAATGTCATCGAGGCTTTGCTTCGAACCGTCACAGCCTGTCTGAATGGTATTAGAGGACCGATCTACCAGAGATCTCCAGAGAGAGATGCCAAAGATAGGCTAATGGCTGAACGTATGAAGGACCGTTTGACAACACCGAATGGTTTAGCTCAGAGAGTCAAGACAGATCCGGATCTATCTAGACGGGCAAGGTCCGAGTTTGTCAAGATGGATGCATCTTCCGTACTGTTTCCCCGTCTCGATCTTGATTACTTGAGAACCATTACGTGTGGAACGTATCAGATATCTCTGGCTCCTGGTTACATCGCCGAACATTTAAGTGATGACGGAGACTATGAGGTGTGGCTTTACCAGCACTCCCCAGACCTTCTCCGATGTCAAATACATTCTCGACACAAAAGCCAAACGAAATATAACGTTTGGATACGGTTCACCGTTTCACCCGATGTTGAGGCCCCAATAAAGGACTACTACTGCCAGTGCCCAGTTGGAGAGAGAACGATGGGAATGTGTGCGCACATCTCCAGTATCTTGTACTACCTTGGGTATTACAGGACGCTGGAAAACCCTCGACCATTACAACCACAGGTAAAGAAATTCCGACAAAACTTGAAATAGTTTTCCATGCGGCAACGGAGTGCATATGTCGAAAGTATGTTTGGGGCTCGATATGAAAGATCCCCGTTACCATGTGACTAACCAAACTTATAAATATAGGTATTATACAATCGCCCGTAGCTATGAACACTCCCGTAAATGCGAAAACCAACCAAAATCATAAGGAACACGTTTTGTTTGTTGTTCTGTCTATTTGTCAGCCAATGTCTTCAACCACGGGGACTTGTGAAGTAGCCATCTTGGATTTTTTTTATGAAAAAGTGTTTCTCTCACTTTTTTTCATATCTGTGTACATATTCTCAACATACCGAGCAAATACTCTCGTTTTTTTGTTAATTATCTAAAGAAAGTCGAAAATCGGCAATTCAACCATAGGCTAATTCAACCCAACATTTGAAAATGTTCCACCACTTACATTTTGATGATTTTTCCTCTCATCAATAGCATATTACGTACTGTTTAATAGGATAAAAATTGGTTTGCATCCAACGCCCATAAAAGGGTGTATTCTCTAAAAAACACAGTTTTTGTGTCTAAAATGTTATCATCGAAAATGGCATTTTTGAGATTGTTTCTTCCATAAAACAGCCAAATGGCGCGATGGAAACATGATTTTTTGTCACAATCATGCCATGAATGTATTCTTTACGGTGACCATCATTTGATTAGATTTTCATTAATATTTTACATAACATGCACATTTTATCAACACTTAGACAGCTTCTGAAAGGTACAACTTTGAGGAGCCATAAAAAACAAACCAAGTGACCTAAATCTTTATACTTTATAGATTTGTGACCACAACGGCATGGGCAATGCACCACCAACAGGAAATTTGAATCAGAGAAGGGGCCGTTTTGGGAACCGGCCCTTTCACCAAGGTTTGGTTCTTCATTTAAGTATACATAAAACAGTTTTTAATTTCACTGAAGATTGTTTTTCTTTCCATTACCTCTTTTTATATAAAATTCACATATTAAAATGATTTCTGACATCCCTATACCTGCTCGGTAACAACACAAGAAATTATTTTATGTTAGTCCTGTCCATAACCATGAAATGAGTTAACTTTCAGAACAAAATATTAAATGGTGTGTTAAATGTATGTTCAATAATTATTTATAGGAAATCTTGACTTCTTCTCACATACTTCTCATGACAGATATACATCCACTTTTTTTGTTTAGTTACCAGAATATTTAGATAAGAATTTTAGGTAAAATTTTAAATGTTTTAATTCACAGAGGGTATTATATTTTGCATATTTTGCACATATGAGCATATATTGCTCATGTGAGGTTGCCAGGGTTATATATACATATAGTGCTCATGTGAGGTTTTCTGCCAGTGTTATATATACATATGTAGTAAAAAAAAATAACTTTGAGTACTTAATTTGCATAATTCTATGAAGCATGCAGTTTTAATGTAATTAAAGTACAGTGTTTTTGGTATATATACATGTACTTCATACCTACATACAACCAGAGTACAAACCCATTTAATTGTAGGGAGATTTTGGTTCTCCAAAAGTAGTTTTAAGATTTAAAAGTAAAATATTGGGAGACGTCACATACAAATGTAAACATTAATTGTTTCTAAAATACTTTGTAGTAATATCTGTTGAAAGAATAACTTACCTTTCCAGAATTTGAGCCATCCTTACTCCACTTCACACCACCACCAGGTCCAACAGTTGTGGCCCCTGATTTTTCTACCTGATTTGCACTACCAGGTGGCAGCGGTGGTCGTTTTTCATCCACCCAATTAGTTTTCTCCTCCATGGTTCCTGCGCGAACGTCATGGAGGGATTTACTCATCCGTTTGTCCGGGCCATTGTTGGTTGTCGTGGAAACAGAAGCTACGTTTCCGACGGAAAGATCATCATTGCTCACAAACTTTACCTTGGTTGTCCCCTTAGACAGGTTCATTGTGGCCAAACGTCCATTGTCATTCTTGTTTATGGCATCACAGCAGATTCATTACAAACGTTTCAGAAAAATTCTGCAGCTATCAAGGATCTTTAGTTTTCTCCATATCATGCTCCGAATAAATGTATTGCTGCCACCTTCGTAGATTATCAGCGTTACTATCCCATTATCACCGACGATTGTATGGAGATTCTGTCCTAAAATAAAATTTCCAATAAAAAGTATTGTATCATTTCAAATAAAGTAGAACCAGAGATGGTGTCAAAGCCCTTTTGAATTTTCATCATATTTAAACTTTCAACATTTTCACGCTGTCGTTCACGCCGGGGGGTAACGCTACAGCTCTCTGTTCTTCGAACACTGGGGAGCTAAAAATGTCTTTAGATATACAATGTGATACTACTAAACATGATACCACGGAATCAGATTAGATTGTTATCTAAGTCCGTGATGATACTGACCATTACTTCATGCAACCACACGATACAGAGACAGCAAGCTTATGCCCATCCTCGATACACCAGATGTTATGCTCACATTTGCTTTCTACACACCTGGAATATGTCATAGCAAAATTGTTGGTCCAGGAAAGGGAATATTTCGTGTTGGAATTCCGTCTTTGCGTATTGCAGAGTTATCTTCTCTTGGGAGCAGGTATTGATTGTTAGGTCATTGGTTTGTGTGAGAAAATTACGTCGTTTTCTCAAAAAATGATTACGTTATTCTCACAAACAAGTGACGTAACAATCAATCCCTGCTCCCAAGATAAGATAACTCTGCAATATGCAAAGACGGAATAGCCTTGACGGGATGTTCTTGCCAATACTGCGGATGATGTTGTCCCAGATAGAAATAGGTTAACAAAGGATGGATTAGTTGTCGTGTTGTACGTGCATGTCTTCTATTATGATGTACGTGGTGCTTGTTTTGAATTCTTCTAGTGGTGTGTGTATGTGCCCGAGTTTCCTCTTGCCCTGACAGTACACAAGACATAAAGACATTTTGACAGATATAGCAATCTTTCTGTCAAAATGTCTAAGTCTGGAGTGAGGGACGCAGGAAACTCGGGCTAATGTCTTCTGTGCTTTGCTATTTATAATTTGGCGTATTAGTAATATGTCTTTATTTCCTTTTTATTATAAAATGTCTTAGTTTAAACACCTGATATTTTATCAGTAACTAATTCCGTACCGGGGTGGTGGTAGGGGGGGGGGGGGGGGGGGTCGATGTTATCACGGACTTAGATATATTCTAATTCCGTGATGTTATATACAGTTGGAATGTTATATGACTTTGGGGATGTTTTAAAGCTGATATGTACATTTGACTTTACAAATATATTGGTATTTACATGTCAGTGAAGTTGTCTCCTACTATGCTTGTTTCTTACCTATCTTTTAACCCAAATTACTTACCTACTCTGAAACTTGACAGGTGCCCGAAATCCGTGACCGAACAACTCTGCTAACATTACTACGCCAGGTAAAATAGTCCTAGCGTTTCGTACACATTGCGGTCGATAGATCATACACAGAAATTGCCAATAATAACCAATGTAACAATTTGGGTATAGTTATGTTAATGGACTAATGTATCTTTTGTTCTTGGATTTTTCACGGTAGTGAAAAAATTACGTATCGTTCCGCGACAAAACCAATATAAACAACAGGGATAAGTCATTATTTCTGATTTTCATGAAATAAAATCTGCTAAAGCCAGCTATTTTCATTAAATTTACACCCCAAATATGTATATAATATATTTGTTATAATTATCACTTTTGTTGTGAGTTGAATACTGTACTTTTCTCCATAAATATATTTAACTTGTAATGCTGTAACATTGAACACTCTCTGAACAGGATAACTCATAACAGGGGTTCGAAGCTCAGCAGGGACAGACTTTTTTTTTAATCCTTATTTTTTTTTTCGATATCTAACAACGTATCAAAAGATACTGGTGTGAATAATAAACAATACTTAATATTAATAAAAATGAAATAAACAAAATAAGTAATGAATATAAATCAGGAGGTTCACAGGGTCTGTATCGTTCACCTGTTGCCTCTATGGGCAAGATCTAAGTTGAACCTTTGAAAAAATACAAGTTTTTCACACATTTGCCGCTTTTTTAAATTGAAAGTAGATTTGAACAAATTTGATTGAGCTTCATCTCAGCATGGTACGTACTGGTAAAATATGACAAATTTAATTGTTTATTCAGAAGAAGTTGTTTAACCAAGTTGCCAAAAAGTTTCAAAAACATTTAACCATTAGGATACAGAAAATGGGTCAAGCTAATTCGTTAGAACAAAGTTTAAGTACTTCATAAAAGCATGCTTCTGTGACACATATCACCCAATGTCTCTTGATAAGTTATTCAGTCGATGTAGATGTCTTTGAATGTTTTAAAATTAAATTAATCGCTTGAAAAGTAGTTCAAGATCATTAACTTAAACTAAGAAGCCATTTATCCCAGCATATGTCACTGTTCCGATACCATGACCTTCGGCGTACGCATGGTTTATTCAGATGCCGTTTACCTGATTTAAACATGTTGTCAGTATAATGTCACCGAGTGGAGTACTGTGAAGCCTTTGGTATAATATTGCATTGAGGTAGTAGTACTCTATAGCCGGCTCCAGATCCTCGCATTCACAAGAAGGTACGACACCAACAAACCGCCCCAGCACACCTACACACATTCACGCATACATTACACACGTGGAGGCACGTCCTTAAATATGAACTTATAGCTGTTCATAGAATGTTAAATCTAATGAAACTCAACCAAACCCGTCATCCCAACAGGACTTGTTGAATATCGCGTATATGACGACCATTGACAAATTAAACCTAATTAATAACATGAAATACCAAAAATGGATATCATTTCATATGATGCAGCATTTTATTTTGTAATAATAATATACAACATTTGATATAGCGCCCTATATCTAGCTAACGTAAACCACTCTAAATGGCTTTGCAGTACATAGATATACAATAAAAACAACTAGGATATACATTTTTTGAGGAATTCGCAGGAGCTGCCTTATCAGGCGCTAACTACTAGTCATATGCCACCTGGCTAATAGCTCCCTATGTGTGTATGTCTGCGTGTGTGCTGGATATGTCTTGTGTTTTGTTTGTAGTGGGACCGTGCTTCCAACAGCATCTTTTATAGTGCCAACTCACTTGAATGCTACATCACAGATACCGCAACATCCACCCAAGACCATTTTATACTCCACTTGGGTTGTTGGAGTTGTATGGGCAGGAGAAAAACACTTTCTCTGATATTCCATGCGTGCGACGACTTCGGGGATCGAACCCCGGCCGCCTGCGTGGAAGGCCGAAGTGTTAACCACTCGACCAATCCGCCCATAAAGGTGATACATGTGAATTGAAACTATATTCCCAAAAAGAGTGTTTTATGTTGGGTACCCTCATGTTACTTATTTTGGTTTGTTTGTTTGTGTTTTACGTCCTATTAACAGCTGTGGCCAAACACAATTATTTCTCTTGCTTTCTTACATCTACAAGCAGGGTAAACATTTGTAGTCAATTTTATTATTCTAGCATAAGTGAATGCCAGCGTATCAAATGCATTTATTATCATACACATTGACAAAAACAAAACAACATTATGTTTTAAACATATTTTATTGTAATGTATATACAATGGGAGTTGGGCACAAGTTTTACAACTTATATTAATCTCTTTCCCTACAATATATTACTACAAATTATCAGAGAGAGAGAGAGATTCCTGCGTCTGTTTGGCTATCAGGATGTTTTCTTGATATTGTTGTGGTCATTATGAACCATGAGTCTTTTTGAGGTGTTCCAAAGTCCCCAAAGCCTTGTAAACCTTATAAAACATGATTAAACAAACTTTCTTATAGATGTGTCCTGCAATTGAAATAAACAATCGATGACAATGGAGAAGATCGTAGAGAGCAGAATGAAGGGCTTTGAGAACCGTGAAAATAGAGGGCACAAACGCAATCCATAATTCTGCAGGGGGTTAGCACATTAGCCGCCTCTTACGATCATACAGCGGGTAACAGAGGATGTTTTGTTTTGTCAATCTCTGGCCTGCAGGGGTATGGGATGTGGGATATATAGAAACTTTGTGCAGATTTAAAAAGAAATGTAAACAATGAAGAGTAGGTCTTTTAACTGTAAGTTACACCAACCTTGATAGCTTGTTATTCACAAGAAGGACGAGTAATGCATTTTGATTCTAGAGAGGAAACCGAACGTTATGATATTAAATGAGGACATGAGGCACAGAAAGAAAAACAAATATAATGTTTGGTTTGGTTTACATTGCTAAATGTCATGTTAACAGTTAAGGTCATTTATGGCCGTACCTCTATGTGGGTAATGCAAGCGTGTATATGTGCTGCAGGTGGCAGGTTGATGTGTTTGTCTTCTCGGGATAGCATTTCTAGTGTGCGAAATTAAAATAAAAAATGAAAATATTTATAATATATTTTTATTAAACAAAGTGAACAGTTTCTTAACTGATTTTGACGACATTTTCGTTACTAATCAATATTTTAATATATTTCAACCCCATAGTCACTTTTCTGGATTACTTATGACAACGAATAGAACACAACTAAACAGATTATTGTTGATATTTGAAAATGCGTTAATTTGAAAAAAAAAATCAATCTTTGTGCAAAAAATGTATTGTCACTAACGTTTTGCTTTCTGTTTGGGTAAAACCCAGACTAATTTTTATACCCGTGGGGATTTTCGCCGTGCCAGTGCAGGTCACTTCCGGTGTTATAAAATCCGCATAAATTATGCTCTTTTGGCTACTAAGATGTATCCTACCAATTTAGAAACAAAGGTAACGTACATTATCTTCTTTATTACGACATAATAAGAACACCAGTTCATTAATCAAAGCAAGCGGACTTTGTTCTTGATTGGTATACAATGGGATATTTATGTTACTTGTGATATATATGTAACAGGAGCGGATCCATTTCCGCTTCATATGCAGCCACCATTGTAGGGCAGGTTTGTCACCTATTCTCGTTATATACGATTTCTTGCTATGGTATATCAATAAGGAACTAATTGGTTAGTTGAAATGGTGGTTAAAGTACACCTTCTGTAGTTTCTGCAGTTTGTGTTGTCGAAATACGAATGTCCACATGCCACAAAGCAACTTCAAAGAGAAATTAGGTCAGCGAGTATACTGTAATATAATGGTTTGGTTTGTTGAATTAAGCGTCCTGTTAATAGATACGGGCATTTTAGAGAGTGTGTCCGTGTGTGTTATTTATGCAAATGTACTTCAGGCGACATTTTTATGTATTTGTCGCTGATCTATTTTTGACTTGTAAAATCCACTTCACTGAGCACATTTATAGTGCAGATATCAACAATTTATCACTATTGATTGTCACCCGTCTTTTTAAAGCATACATGTCGATACAGTGACTTACAAAAGATTTTGAATTAAAAACAAGATACGAGAAATCCGATATTTTGTATTTCAGTTTTTGTTTTGAGGTAATGACTATTTGATTCCGGGGGGAGAGACACGGTAATGAAATATGGCCTGACAACAAATAACAATGTACACATGTTGCTAGGTTAGCATACACACGTCTGTATACACAGAAGATTTACACTCCACATTCACACACGTATACATGTCTGTGAACATACGACCGCACGCAGTCGTAGTACCGTGAATTGAAAGAGAAACAGAAAGTACGCAACCACACACTAAAATCAACTTGGTTATAATTCATGTATATTTGTTGAAGAAATTAGGATGATATTTCGTGTTCTCGACGTGGAGACACCCAACAATCCAAAATTGTTCTTTCTGCCCATTGAAAGACATAACCAAGACATGCTAAGGTTATATAAAGACGGTTGCCTAGGGAGACACTACTAAAATGGAAGATTGGGGAAGCAATAAAAGGAAATGTACAGATTCCAAGTGTTGAAATGGGGTACATGTCAGCTTTTGTACATTTGATGTCCTTTATGCATGCAGAAAACACATAGGTAAACCGATGATTCCCTCCTGTGATATTCTACATTAATCGTCTCTTACAAAACATGAAATTGGATACAGCTGGCGTATTCTTCCCCTGAACCTGCCCTACATAGTAACTCTACCATGCGTAGTTATGATCTGAAATATGCGAACATTTCAGAAACTTTAATGCCATACAATTATGCGCCTGTATTACGACTTTTAAATGTATATTTTCTAACTTTGGATTTTGTGTTTTCAGATTAAACTGCAACGTTCAAGTCAAACAGACCACAAGGCGAACGCTTCATAATGTCACTTCCGGTGAAATTTTCGGATGTCCGAGGGGAAAATGTATCGCTGAATCGAGACAAGAATAGCGCTTCCTGGAAACATATTTATTCAGGAGGGGTGGTATTCAGTCAACTACCACTGGAAAGAGAGAAACCAGTAAAGTTAACTTTGCGTGGCACATCAATAGTTCACGTAGGATTTTATAAAGTAGACCCCAAAGATATCACTGATGTTAAAGAGTTGTATTTGAAAAAAGAGATAGATTTTATCGCACAACTGAATATTTATAATCAGAAATGTTCAGCTTATCTCAAAAGGAACGCCTCTAGCTTTACCTACAAACATGCGAACATTCCATACACGAAGAATGTTGTATCAGGAACGGCTATCTGGATTGCTATTTACATCCAGTTTGGGGATGCGTGTGTCAAAATGCGTAAGTATATCGAGTGTTAATGAAACCTTATAAAGCTCATTTTCGTTGGAAAAAACAAAATCGTGTAATACCCCTCTCACCCCACTGAGTATGATCAATTGGAGTTATGTCCAAAACGACATTGAGGGAGGTGGATTATTGAATTCCTAGAAAAAAATATAGAAAAGTATAGTTAGTATTCTCTAGTGAACTGCAGTGGGCTAGGAATCCTTAAGTAAATTCCCATTTAATGATTTACAGGAGATGAAAAAGCAATTCCGGAATTGAAAGTTAGCTTAATTAAACAAAATGTGAAACATTTAAATATTTTTTTACAGGTTCTGAAACTGATGCATCGCAATTGATGCAATTTCACAGCATACATGGTAACAATATTCAGTTTTGGGACACGACAAGGACGACTGCACAGTTACGTAATCCCAATCCAGCCGCAACGTCTTGCATAGAACTGAATTCCACAGAAGAAAAGGCTCTATCGGTAACGCTAAGATTGAAACCATGTTCGCCTGAAATAAAAAAGTACGGCTTACAATTGTCAGCCTGTCATTCGACTTCAAAACTTCTGAGCAATTTTCATGACAACATGTTAACGACCGAATCCAAGATACAAAAACAACCAAAATGGACAACAATTCAATCGTTTAAGAGGAAATCGGGAAATGTTAACACGTGCGACGGGGAGTTGACGATAAAAGTGGAACATGGCGGAAGAGTAAAATATCATCATGATTCGGCAGGGGCAGGATCAGCCCACGTGACTGATCAACACACTCAATCAGGAGGAATCATCCTTATTTTGGGCATGTTTCAGGTAAGTGTAGACATAACTGACGCCTTTGAGTATGAACCCAGAGTTGGAAGTGATGATGAGGAATGCTCAAGTATGTCGAGCGTGAATTCAACATCGGTCATTTCAACATGCTTGGACCGTTCTCTCAACTCTCCAACATCACTTCCAAAAAGCGCACTAATTCGAAAGAACATAACATTTGAAATGTCAGAGGATTCATCGTCACGAGATAAGACCGAATCATCTACTGATAATGTGTCGGATATTTCAATCAAACAGCCACTGAATGATAGTACAAAACCTCCACAGGAACCAAGGGATAGAGAACGTTTGGATGCCTGGGTAAAGGAAGCAGCAGTGTTTAGTACACCGGAATCCCCAACTGGATTTCGATTATTTCGTAAGGAAGATAAGCCTTTTGAAACATTAGTGACAAATATGTTAGGAGAAGCTGGGCCATCGAGAAAACGAGCGGATGTTTCGTGTTCTTCAGAGCCTGTTGTGCAACCAAAACAGATCCGGTTGCACGATAAGTTGTATTTGAATGAAAATACCGAGCAAGGGTTGATACCAGCAAAGCAAACAGCTGATTATTTCCATCCGGTGCCAACATTAGCATCTCCCTCATTAGAACAAGGAATTATTTTGTCAGAACAAGCCGGAGAGGCCCAACGGACTTCTCCAACAAATACTCGTCTCGAATTGAAACGTTCAAGAATGGGAGTTCGACTCACCCCTCCAATCAATTCAACGACAGATGGCCAAAGCAAAAGCGTTGTTTTATCAAACAGACAGCACCATGGCAGAATGATTCAACATCAGATGACATACCCCAACCTATCGACGTTGACAGATAATTCAGGTCTTTTTCGTGACGACTACAGTATTACGCTGCAGGAGAAAGCTACTTCAAAACATTATCTAAAGGACAGCATAAAGAGGAACTATACAAATCTCGTCGAGAAACTGGAAATCGTTCCATTGATTGACCACCTATACCAGGCAGATTTTTTGGGAGAGGAAGACCTTGATAAATTTAGATCATGCCCACAAAGTTCGGAAAGCAATAGGTTGTTGCTTTCAATGCTCAGGAGAAGGCCAGTTGATAAAACAAAATTCTTAGCAGCTTTACGAAACTCGAAACTTGAGCATTTGATCTCAATGTTTGATATCCAGGATACCAATGACTCTACCTTTTAAAGTGTGGATAATACGAGCAAATTAAGGAATATGAAGTTTAACCAGCCAAGAAACTGTCGAAACTGTGGAATTGTTTGACGATGCTGCTACACGTTGCTTAATGTGAACCGGACCCAATATGCCATACCAACTGCGCCAAAGTTTCATCGTAAAATTGATACAGTCACATAACAATTCGCGGAACTGTAAATTAAGAGACATGTTTCGACTAGAAAGCGTCAACCTAAATTATTTGCGGAATATTTTAGCGACAAAACAAACTTGACATGAACTATCTTTACCACAGGATGGTAATCAGTGTCTTCTCTGCGACATGAATTGCGCCTCAAAGGCAGACAGGAAAATACCGCTACCAGAGGTTGTGTAGTACCAACCTCGAAGTTTTATATTGCCATCGGCGATGCAGAGGAGTATTTCAAAAAAGATGTGTAGATGAAAAGAAGATGGTTTTCTGCATATTTACTTCTGATAAAACGCGCTTATTCGATTTTAATGCAATCAAACATATTTTTCCAATTATCTACACAACTGAGCTACCTATTTGACGGACGTGTCCTGGGCAAACATTGCTACAAAACAAAACTTTGTGAACACATATATGACTGCTCTCCGAGATGAGATATATGTAAGATTTACCTAAGCCTACTTTCAGAATATGGCAGTTGTTCCCCTTAGGACTAACATTTCCGATTTATAGCTTCGGAGGGAGAAAATTTTCGAAGGTCGAAGAGTTACATCGTGATCATTTCCATACGCGATGATTTCTACTTAAGCAGGTCAGATTTGTTTTTAAAATAATGGTAACAGATATGGCTGAATGACTGCATTCTCATTCAATTTTTTATTAACCAAAAGCCCTTAGGCTTATAGGTACTACATACTTTGGATGTTTCACTTATACATGTTATACCTTACATTTGAGTTCGATGTTTATTTATGTATCATGCTTCTTGATTCAATACTGTTTTAGCTAAAATTTCTCGGTATAGTTCATCACTCGCATATGCAGAAACTTGCAGTTTTAATTAGGGTTGCCAAATTTCTTTTGGTAACGTGTTACTCGAAATCCCGATCGAGTAACCGGTTATTCGGTTAATTTGGTAATCAAACAATAAAGAACGACAGGACGGTTTTCGTTAAGCAAAAGTTATTTTTAAAGCACATACATGTATTAATTAGCATGGTACTGTGGTTTACTCGAGTATTGCAAGCTAAACCTAGGAAATATATAGTTGCATGTAACCTCAGTAAGTATATTTTATGGACAATATATGTCGATATACAGTAAAGTGGGATTTAATTACATCTGTACTCGAATTCATATGCGGTAATATTGCTCTTTAGAACCAAATTTGATCGACAAACGTTTTGATACACGCTTGCTCGTTTAGGTGGGTACTCTTCATGTTATGTTTAAGTAAAAGCGAATTATACATGTACCTATACAAATTGTTGATATTTCACAACTACTTTGTATTCTGGCTTCCTTAAAAATCTTTCATTTTTTATGGCGCTGGCGGCATCTCTTTGTCAATTTTAACAATACAGTACACAAACAACACTTACATGTCAGTCTGAACACTGTTTTTATCACAACAAACTACCTTTCCAATTTGGTCGCATCAATAGAAAATGTGTAGGTCTAAACCAGGAAAACATGGGGGTCCCCGAAGGGGTAAGTACGTGTCCGATTATTCGGTTATTGGTTTTGGTAACTGGTTCGTGGTCTTTCGACCGAGTAACCGGTTAACCATTGACAATTCTAGTTTTAATTAATAATATTGTCAGCTTAAGTTGGTAAATCACATCAAACCATTCTCATATTTTTTGGTTGTGGCGATGATATGCATAATTTAAACAAACATACATGTATATATACCATGGTATAGACTGTGATCACGTTCGATGTATATAATATTAGTATTTATTACATACTTACTAAAATAGTACGGGTTTTTTGTATATGCAATACGGCACAATTGTTTTAACCCATATCAGCCCTCGCCGTATCACACCCCTGAACCCGTATCAGCCCGCAAAACACGTATCACACCCCTTTTTGAACACTTCTAATTTTTCCAATCTACCACCAACAACGTCATTCGGTACCCTTATGAAATGTTTCGTTTTTCAAAATTTCTAAAGAAAAATAGATCATAAGATAGAAGATCTATCCGTAGTAAGTATGTAATAAACAGAATAAAACATGCGTTTTTCCATATCACACCCAGTATCAACCCTCGACCAATATTAGCTGGTAGGGCTGATATTGGAGTCTCGGGTTGATACTGGGTGCGATATGGGAAAAGGCATATTTTATTCTCTATATATATATTGCGGTACTTAGTCAATAATAATTAGTGCTGATTCTATCGCCAATGGACCTACAGAATGTATGTTTAGTTGTCATAAATTTTGTCTTAAGACCGCACTATTTTTTTCTTTCAGTTACATTTGTTTTGTTTAGGTTATGGTTAACTTATTAAAAATAGAGTTACCTTATTCTCAGTTCCTCATTTCCCCACCTTAATATTTTCATTTGATGTGTCATATCCTTGTTAAATTCTTTCTATGACGAGGTTCAATCTCCCGTTACTATTTCACACCTGAAATCTCGATATAATGAACCGGAGCAGGCACATATAACGCAAAGTCAATTGTATCAATGTGAAAATGTAGCTATTTGTTTTTGTAGTCTTACTTGCTTTCATAGATTCATAGATTCATCGTTCACCGCTGTGTCCGACTTACTTCCGTGTTTGTCAATGTCAATTTAAAGCTTCATAGGGTAGGATTATTGTATGGTACTAATTCCAACACTGTGTATCTTTGGAGGAGTATGTAAGGAGGAGAGTTTTGACAGATGACATAGGCTGCTAGATGTCCGAACTACTCGGTAGTGAAGTTGACGTAAAACCAATCCATCAATCGACAGTTGTTGTAAGGGAAGACGTAAAGGAAAATCTGAGAGAGGAGCCCAGCAAAGTAAGGTTAGAGTACTATATACAGGTATTGTCTTGGCTAGTGTATTGCCCTTTTCGAAAACGTGTTTCCTTTGTCTATTAATATCACCGGCCATTTGCACACTTTGCTTGAAACAGACGTTTTCGAAAGCTTGCAAAATAAATTCTCAATTCCTGTTTGTGTTCAAAACAAACTTAGCCTTTATCAATATAGTTATCATTTAATTCTGATTTGAAAACAATTGTGCTATTTCGCTAGGCAGGTAGCTAGCGATACATTTGTGTGGTAATAAAATAAACCTTACTACCGTGTTTTTTTTCGGGAACGATATCCATGCTTGGTTTGATTTGGTTTTATATTGTTAGCAGCTATGTTCGTTGTGAATGCGTGCATGCGTGAATGTGTGTCGGAGACAGATTGTTGGTGTATTTGCCTGCTTTTGATAGCGCGGATCTGATGCCGACTTCATAGTGATAGCCATCTGAAATACCATGCCGTAGGTACCCATCTACTGACAACGGGTGAACCAGTTGTTGCCATTTTTTCTAAATGCTGAACGTTAAGCATGCAATAACAACTACCATTGCTAAGGACTTTGGTATGTCCCGGGCTGGGGACAAAACCCATTGCCCTCCTCACCTGGGTGAACGTTCAACATTAAAGCCAAAAGTGTGGTATTGCCAAGCAAGGCGCTAGGAAATAAAAGGTATTTAAACGAAGAGAGAAATATTTAGATATTAACTTTTGCAATTGGTGCAGCAGATTTATCTTGATCGCGTATGTGTCCCCAAGTACAATCGCAAATCCCCAATTCTGCAGGGTGTACGCTCATTAGTCGCCTCCTACTATACATGCAGAGGGTTAACAGCAGGTGTATTCTTTTCTCGATTCCCAACCTGCAGGGGTGATTATCCATGCAACGTTACAAAAAGAGTGGAAGTTTTGTTTTTGGATTAACATAGACATTGGGATATATCCGAGTTTATTTAACTATTTCTTTCAAGAATAAGTTTAAGTGTACATATCAGTGAAATTTAGAGTTGAAACAACATTGTTGCAAGCAATTGATGCGTCGTTTAACTTTTGACAATGTATATATTTTTTATAATATTTACCTTTGTATTACCTATTATGAGTTGTATGTACAGTTGTTACGGCAGTAGCGGATCACTTTGCATATAATTGCTACACACGATTTTTGCAAGACTTTTTTTGAAAGACATCATATATTTTCAGAAAGTACATTTAATTACCTCTCCAGTGATACCAAAAGATCTTCATAAAATCAAATATACACAACGAAATAAGGAAAACAAGACCTACCGATTTGTCGGCTATAGCGGATCAGTACGGCTATAACGGATCACGCCCTTTGGCGGGCCTCTCACTCACGATTCAAGTTAGATGGGACGTCTCAAAACACACTTTTCAGAGGTAACTGATCGCATCTAATTATTAATTGATGCCTTTGCAACGAATACACTTTAAATATAACTCCAATACATGTGCCAACTCTCAAAACATATGTAGAAATTTGAAATCGTGAATGCACGTGGAACGATGCTATGCGAATGCATACGCGTGCGCAGATGAACACTGATCCGTTATAGCCGAAAAATCACACATCGGATACGACACAATAACGCATGTAAGCATTATCCAAGATTACCAAACAATACATGATTCTGAAACAAAACAATATAATTCATCATTTAAATGCATATTTATTTGGTTGTAAGTGTGTATTTTAATAGAATCCATTTCTTCATCGAACCGTCCGTTTTCCAAGATGGCGGTCATCGCTAGAGGAGCAGATTGAGAAAATATAAAATTCGGGATTTCTGGACATGATACGTATATGAAGTTATTTTGTTTGTTTGTACATTATAAGAAACAACTTGTTACCATGTGCAAACAATTAATTTCTTTCTAGGATCAATACATTTTAAGTAATCAGCTTTTGTTTATTGACTGATCCGCTATAGCCGATGATCCGCTACTGCCGTAACAACTGTACTCTTTTAAACTAGTTTATATAGTAATGATTTGTGGCATCTACTGGAGACTTGTGAGTAATAACGAATTAAATGACTTTGAAACAACATTGTTGCAAGCAATTGATGCGTCGTTTAACTTGTGACAATGTATATATTTTTTATAAGATTTACCTTTGTATTACCTATTATGAGTTGTATGTTTTAAACTATTTTACATAGTAATGATGTGTGGCATCTACTGGAGACTTGTGAGTAATAACGAATTAAAGGACTTTGTACATTTATCTCATATGCCGAGTCTTTATTTACACTTAACATAAACACAATATATACAGACAATTGGTTTCTGGACTTGAATATAAAGGATGGAATATTTGGTTGAACAAAATTAAATGCAAGCAAAGTAATGATATCTGCTCTGATCCCAAACTGTACACACAATTATATGCATAAATACATATCTTTAAGCACACATACACATCATCGGTCAGCCCCTGTTTAAATATTGGAAATCCTTGATAGAGACCAACAAAAGAAAAGTTATACACTACGGTATCATCAACTTAATACTTGCACTATTGATAATGAATTTATTGATATAAACTGGATAATGACCCTGAATTATTTTTTAGTTAAATTAGGCTATAATGAGTTAATAAGACTATAATAAGTGAGTCTTACCGACCCAACAAATAGCAAGGTACATCTGACGTCAAAGCAATTGTACTTTACAATCACGCTGGCGCGCGATTCTTCTGATGTACATCAGAGGGTCAACCTAGTATACTACCTTTCAACGTATTCGCAATAGTCAACTTGTATAACGTCTTAGCAATAGTCTTGTTTAATAGACAGTTCAACGTGATTGCAACAGTTATCTTGTATAATTCCACAAGTTGATGCGTACAAAGCTTTTAAGTTTGGCATGTCCTGTTACAAAGGCGCAGAGAAAGGAAGTGAGCGTTACCACCGGGATTTTGAGGATGGGAGTAGGTAAAAGCAAGTTTGCCTTTTTATCCTCGACCTACTGGGGTGATAGAATGATGTCGCAGGAAACTGAACATATAAAGATATATGATACTTACTCTATGATGTTCTATAATATAATCAATACTATCATGATATCATTTATAAAGATGTTTTATTGGTGTGTTTGTTTTCTACACTATGTGCTATGAGTACATGGATTTGTTTGTTTCTCTGGGATTTTAACGTCTTTGCAACAGCCATGGTCATACGAAGACGGGTGTCTAGAGATACACAACAGCCATGGTCATACGAAGGCGGGTGTCTAGGGAGACAAAACAGCCATGGTCATACGAAGACGGGTGTCTAGGGAGACAAAACAGCCATGGTCATACGAAGGCGGGGGTCTAGGGAGACACAACATCCATGGTCATACGAAGACGGGTGTCTAGAGATACACAACAACCATGGTCATACGAAGGCGGGTGTCTAGGGAGACACAACATCCATGGTCATACGAAGACGGGTGTCTAGGGAGACAAAACAGCCATGGTCATACGAAGACGGGTGTCTAGGGATACACAACAGTCATGGTCATACGAAGACGGGTGTCTAGGGATACACAACATACATGGTCATATGAAGACGGGTATTTAGGGAGACAACATTCATGGTCATATGAAGACCGGTATTTAGGGAGACAACATCCATGGTCATACGAAGACGGGTGTCTAGGGATACACAACAGCCATGGTCATACGAAGACGGGTGTCTAGGGATACACAACAGCCATGGTCATACGAAGACGGGTGTCTAGGGATACACAACAGCCATGGTCATACGAAGACGGGTGTCTAGGGATACACAACAGCCATGGTCATACGAAGACGGGTGTCTAGGGATACACAACAGCCATGGTCATACGAAGACGGGTGTCTAGGGATACACAACAGCCATGGTCATACGAAGACGGGTGTCTAGGGATACACAACAGCCATGGTCATACGAAGACGGGTGTCTAGGGATACACAACATCCATGGTCATACGAAGACGGGTGTCTAGGGATACACAACAGCCATGGTCATACGAAGACGGGTGTCTAAAGATACACAACAGCCATGGTCATACGAAGACGGGTGTCTAGGGATACACAACATCCATGGTCATACGAAGACGGGTGTCTAGGGATACACAACAGTCATGGACGTACGAAGACGGGTGTCTAGAGATACAGAACAGGCATGGACATACGAAGACGGGTGTCTAGGGAGACACAACAGCTATGGTCATACGAAGACGGGTGTCTAGGGATACACAACATCCATGGTCATACGAAGACGGGTGTCTAGGGAGACACAACAGCCATGGTCATATGAAGACGGGTGCCTAGGGTGACGACGCCGAAAGGAAAGAGTATGGAAACGAGTAAAGAAATTAAAAATTCTAACTATTGCACTAGGGATATCAGATCAATTATGATTTCTTCAATGTTACCTCAGCAGAATTTACGAAATAAAGCTCCTAATTCCGCAGGGAACATTGTACTATGGATTCCTTAAAAGGTCAAAGTTCAGATATAGACTGTGTATCTGGACACTTAAAAATTGACAAATGGGCACACAACAAATAATTCAAATGAGACATAATTCCGGCATTGTGTTACATGCACAATGCTAGAGATCGAAACACGAGGGCGGTAACTCGTGTTGGACTGTTCTATATACTAGTTACAAGTAAAACATGCAATAACCAATTGTGATAATGATTGATTCAGAGGGGTTTTACGTATTCGAAACCTCTCAATATAGATACCTTAACATACCACCAACGTCATGTACACGGCCATAGCCGTTCGTTAGAACCAATCTCTAAACAAATACTAGGGCTTTCTTTCTTGAAACAGAGCATTTATAATGAGTACTTTGTCCACGGAAGTGGAGCTATTCAGGGCATAATTCCATCACATTGAGAAATCCGCTAATATTTGAACACAGTAGTTTAACACCCCATCTGGTAGCATGAATCTAAATCCAAGTCTACATATCAAAAGAAATATCAAACTGAAGAAACAATCAGGAAACAAATGGTTGTCAAATGTTAAAACGAGGGCATCAGTTCGAGTTTTGCTCTTGTTTCAGATCATGCAGTGACATACAACGTCAGGCTAGTTCTTCCGTAATGTACCGACCCTTTCTTAGTGTAAGCAGAACATTCTATCGATAAACGAGTATTATCGTTTTTATGATATTATTTGGTAAAGTTACTAGTATACTAGTTCACAGTTTAATAGAACAATACGGTATAATATACAAATGTAAATGTAAATCATGGGTAATCGGGTGACGCATTGGATAACGCACTTGCCTTTCACCAAGGCGGCCGGGGTTCGATTCCCGGTCGGACGTGAAATGTATGGGTTCACATGCCCGACCGTGTAAGTTGTCTCCGGGTACTCCAATTGAAGTCGAAATAACTTGTTTCATAATTGTTGTAACATAAAATAAAGTCTGTATATATCTTTATATATGTACAACTGCTGGCAATCTAAACACCTGAGAGTTTCACAAGCATTCTTGTTTTCATCATAGGTACGTAGTCACGGTCGGAGTAGAATTTACACCACACCATTGATTGATAAATATCCACACCAGTATCTTGAATGTACAGCCCATTCAGATTACTGTCGAGACAACCTTTGTACCACCAAGCGCCTGACGCATCCTCAGCACATCTACCGGTGAAGCTGTTTTCATTGTCATAGGTAGTGAAAGGTAATCCGTTGTGGAAAGCCATTGCGTCATCTGTAAAAACGAAAAAAACTCAACGATAGCTAGTTAATCAAATAGTCAAAATAGAATAAATTTGTTATACGAAGACGCCGTACCGAATGCATCCACTTTGAAAGTCATTTTGCTATAATGATATTGGACACGGTATCCTGATCACATTACACTAAAAAAACGATTCATAATTCCCTACAGCTACTATAAATAAAATGCTGAATATCAAGCAAAATAAGCGACTTTTAAAAATGACATCTCACAGGAATAACATTTTAAAATAGGCCCTTCATCCGTAGACCATCTTCAAATGACCTTAGCTGTAGCAAGGACATAAAACCTCAAAGCAACCAAGAAAACTGTATCTGAATAGAGGTTTATGAAACGGGGCTACACAACAAAAATCAGCAGGTGAAAAGGAAAGATGAGGAAGAAAAACAAATTAAACACGGAAATTAAGTTACGAATTTCGACTTTTAAATGTCCCCTAACGAAAACATTCCCCATACCGTGATACATGTAGTCCCGTCAAATCTATAAATAAACAAACCAAAACCAGCAACACAAATGATCATTTAGCGATTGACGTTATTCTTTAAAAAAAATGCAATGTTTTCAAATTATTACACAGCAGAGTATTTTATTTGGTCATATTATACTGACAACGAGTTATTTTTACTACACTAAATGATGGATGTTAAGCAGGGAATAACTACTACTATAACATCTTCAATTTTTAGAGACTTTAGTATGTCCAAGCCTAGGAACAGAACCCATTGCCTTCCCCACTTGGGCGAATGTTTACCACCAAAGATAGATGCGAGGTATTGCTGAGATGAAATGTCAGGAAAGGTTGTTAGGAAGTAGAAAACAGATATAAAGTTCTCAAATGTTGCAACGGGGCAGCACAATTTATTGTGGTTGCATTCGTGTCTCAAAGTAAAGGGTTTAGAACCAAAAAACCCAAATCTGCAGGAGGTTCTCAAACTATTTGCCTCTTAAACATGCAGTTGGTAACAACAACTGGTAAATCCCCAACCTGCTGTGGTGTGTTCCGTCTTTTCGTATTGCAGAGTTATCTGCTCTTGTGAGCAGGTATTGATTGTTACGTCATTGGTTTGTGTAAGAAAATTATGTCGTTTTCTCAAACATTGATGACGTTTCTCTCACAAACAAATGACGTAACAATCAATCCCTGCTCACAAGAGAAGATAACTCTGCAATACGCAAAGACGGAATAATGAACAAAGAATATTTTCATAACAGTTCAGTCTTAATCTACCAGTATTAAGTATTTATAATGAAAAAAAAACATTCCTCGGTAAAACCTACAGATTACGTCGAAGTTTATTGAAGGAGTCAACCAGACACTGATTTGATATATTCCGATTTCATGCATGTACTGCACAAGAACACATCGAACGGACTCGACCAATCACCCATTCACACATGTAAAGCCTATACGATACATACAACAACCAGAATCTGTAACTTCACATAGGAAACTGGGCAAAAACAATCATGATAAAATAAACAAGTGAACATAATAGTTTAAATCTATTATATTCAAAATATCTTATATTTAAAGATTATATTTTTAAACATAAACAGCGATTCGAACCCTGGAAAGAGCTATTTGATCAACGGACGCATAATAGCCTAATATTGGATATTGAAATGAAATCTAAAGGGAAGGTAATGTATAAACGAAAAACCACGTGCTGCGGATCAAGGATCCTGAAACTTACATGAAGCGTTGCCTGAAAATCCGGATACGGAGATCTGATACTCTGTTGACTCGTTTGCAATTCTAAACGATGAGTATTGGGCATAAGCAACATCGCCGTACCATGAGACCAACTCGATACGTAGGACGGATGTCCGTTGGGTGAGAAGGTGGATTATCTCAAGCCCTAAAATGAACATAATAAATGCAATGTCCGATTGATATAACGTATATGACATATGAACATTTTTATGTCAAATTAAAGTTTTACTAAGTAGACATGCAAACAGAATAATTGTTAATATTCTGTCCCATTTGCTTTATGTTTTGTAAATTGTTTACATTTTCTCTCAAAAAGGAAAGGACTAATAATTCTATCAATAATGTACGTGTAACACCTCCCATACACACAGATAAGGGTACGTACTATCTGCGGTGTCGTTTGATAGAGATAGAAATATGGCACTCCCCAGACAATTGTACGATAGGCGACAAGGGCCGGTTACAAAGATATGATTTTTTCATATATTTTTGTGTGTGCAGCGTATGAAAAATCAAACAATTTTGTCCGGCTCTTGTCGGCCATCGTATAAGCAGAGAGACCAAGAACTCATTCTTCTCCAAACGGTTGTATGAACATTTACCTGACCAAAAGTTTCCCTTCCAGTCTCCGAAACCATTCTTGTAGTCAGCCCAATTTCTGAAGAAATCCTCCTGTCCATCCTGTCTGTTTTGTATTACCTGTCACAAACAGCAATTACTTTATATAAGTATGAGTCTTATGATCCATTTAACGAGATACATTATGTTTGTTTTCGGTGTAACGTCCTAGCAACAGCTAGAAGACATGTGTCTAGGAAGGTTTGGTATGTTCCGGCTTGGGGATAGAACCCATTGCCTTTCTCACGTGGGCTAACGCTCAGCATTAAAGCCAAAAGTGAGGTATTGCCAAAACAAGGCTCTAGGAAATAAAAGGTGGTTAGACGTAGAGAGCAATATAAAGATCCCAAATATTGCAATGGGTGCATCTGATATATTTTAGTCGCCTCTTACGATACATGCCGTAAGTAACAGCAGGTGCATCCTTTTCCCGATCCCCAACCTGCAGTGGTGTGTGTTGGGTGTAACGTTTTAACAACAGCTAAAGTCATTAGCTAGAAGACATGTGTCTAGGGAGATACCGCCGTAAATAAATTGTAGCCTCTTACGACATGCAGTGGTTTACAGCAGGTCTATTCTTTCCTCGAAGATGTAGCGATAACATACTATTAAAAAGGACATTAGCACTTGTCTGGTATCTACCGTGTTTTTCACATTTCGGAAAACTCTAAAATAAGTTAATAATTTTTTTCCTGCTTAGTGGATCATGAAGAAACAACAATATAATCTCCTATAAAATTGCGGAAATAATGTCACTTGCAACATAAGTTATAAAAATGTAATTCGTTTTATTTGTTTTAAAAGGTACCATGAACATTATTCTGGACATGATATATATTTATATCAGAATGCATAAGACTTGAATATGTTGTTTTTTTAATAACTGCATAACTCTTCTAAAAATATCTTAATCGTTATCAACACCACTCATGTGGGTTCTTACGGTCCAAGGTCCTTCCTCGGTGTCCATGTCACAGTACACGTTGTAACTCAATCCCGAGGTCAGCTTAATGGTGTAGATACCGGATGTGTATGCTGGGTTTACCTCGCTACAGTCGGCGATATCTACAACGAATATATATGGTGGGTCTTCTTCATCATGATTCTTGTTTCATATGAAACCATATTTGACTGAATTGCCAGTGACTTGCAATTATTTTTTGCAGACCATTTTTATCGCAATTTTGTTTTAATAAATTTGCTATAGAAGGTTGTTTCTTCCGGCTGTATATTTAGTACTGCTGTTAAAGCCCTATCATTTCCGCTTAATCCGAAATAACCGGATATACAACTGAAGATCACGTGACAGAACACTGATATCATCTTGATAAGAAGTAATATGTTCTGTGTGAGCAGGAAAGAATGCTTAAAGGCAAAATAAACAGACGACAGTTTGGTTTGGTTTTATTTTGATTAACGTCCTATTAACAGTTAAGTTAATTTAAGGACGTGCCTCCATGTGTGTTTTGTAAGCATGCATATATGTGTGTCGGTGTCGATTAACTCATACAACGTAGATTGTCATTATAAGTCATCACTTCAGCAACAACAACAACTGCAATCGGACCGCTACAAATAGATGCAGTCAGGAAAACCCCAAATACATGAGAACCCCCGATGACATCATCGATCGGTACCCCCCTCGTATGTAGGTTGTCGCTATAAATAGATGCAGTCAGGAAAAACCCAAATACATAAGAAACACCCATCATTACGATACCACCCGGTTAGGGTGGTGCGGGGTGGTGGTAAGGATTATATAGGAGACTGCTCTCAATGACCTTGGCCCAAAACCCTTACTTTTGTACTGCTATTGTATATATGGTTATAGGGTGAGGATCTCAACTGTTTCCAAGCTGTGACTAAGAAACTAGGTCCCTAGGGGATCAGTCAGACCTCATGGTCTATTCTAATATAATGACTGCATTCGTCTCTTTATGCCCAACAATTGTATATATAGTTTTGGGGTGGGGATCTTAACCGTTTCGAAGTTATGACCCAGGGGTTAAGCCTCCGAGGGTTGGGCAGACCCCAAGGCCATCCTGGAAGCGTATGTGCATTCATATCTTTATACTCAGCGACTGTATATTTTTGGATTTTTTTCTCAACTTTCTAAGTTCCTTTCCGTGTCCTATTGCCTTGATTGGCAATATCTCACGTTTAACATATTAGTACTGAGCAATTGCCCGAGTAAGGAAGGTTCCTTTCTCTAAACTTACAAGTTCTTGGCCAGAACACTCATCCCTAAGGCTTCATTCAATCAAAGCCTTCTTCATCTTGGGACACTCATCTGTGACGCTCCACGTCAGCGGTCTGTCAGTCGTTACTATAGTTACTAGATTATTGTGTACTGTGGGTGGCGTGCCAGGGTGAACAAAGCAAACATAACCAGGACAAATGATATGTATCACTAGTATTGATTGTTTTGACTTATTGTATGAAAACAGTATCCAGTGTGATGAGATAACTTAATTGTGCAATATTGCTGAAATTTCAGCCCCTGGACACAGACACTCCACCCCTTTACATATTGTACTATCAACTGGCCTACCAGTTCATACAACTAAGGTTTGTTTAAACGGAAAACCGAGATCAATCAAACGTAACAGTTTAGTTGGTGACTCAAGTAACTAACTGTGTGCCTAATCAACCGTCTCTGTCTTGTTTAGCAAGCAAATCGCATTCATGCTTTAGCAGCTTCTAACAGACTCCAAACAGCTGTTCTGGTATAACAGTTAATTTTCAAACTTGCTATGAACTGTCTAAGTACATAAAGACACCTTACTCAAAATAGAATAGCTACTACGGGCAAAGCTTAAAAAATAATAATCACAATAATACCATGAAACATTATGGACGTTATGAATAATTGTTTAGGGTTTAAAGTCCTTGTAACAGTCAGGGTCATATGAGACAAAGAAGATAGATAGATAAGTAAGCTAACAGAAAAGATGTAAAAAGACAAAGATCCCAAATGACGGAAAGGGGGCAGCAGATCAATTTTGGTCTCATCCTTTTTCCTTTCGTAAAGAACACGTGAGAAGTGTCTAAACTCTGCAGGAGCATAGAAAAGTAAGATAACAGAAAAGATGTAAAAAGACAAAGAGCTCAAATGACGGAAAGGGGGCAGCAGATCAATTTTGGTCTCATCCTTTTTCCTTTCGTAGAGAACACGTGAGAAGTGTCTAAACTCTGCAGGAGCATAGAAAAGTAAGATAACAGAAAAGATGTAAAAAGACAAAGATCCCAAATGACGGAAAGGGGGCAGCAGATCAATTTTGGTCTCATCCTTTTTCCTTTCGTAGAAAACACGTGAGAAGTGTCTAAACTCTGCAGGAGCCCTACATTAGTTGCCTCTTACGATCATTCGTTTGGATACAGCAGACCTACTCTTTCGTTCTGCCCATATATACCTTTGTTAAGAATTTGTCATCAGTTTAGCGGTCGTTTTTCTTGTCTAATTTGCAGTAAACCTTACAGTACTTGCGTCAATAATCAAATATCAAGTATCACAATAAAGCATTTCACAATCACACCTCATGTCATTATTCTAGTGACCATACTTCTTGACAGATTTTCATTTAACTTTTAAAATATTCTTGCTTGGATATTTGACAGATATCAATAGATATCGCCGATACGATCCAGATGTTGGACCTTTTAATGTTTCATGTCTTAAACCTGATCCTTTATTTTTCGATATGTGTTTAATCCATTCAAAAAGAATCCGACTGTTTATGCTCATATTTAATATATTCAACAGAATATTTATTTATTGCTTTGTGTATAAAAAAAAAAAACACACAAAAATATTTCACTAACAAATTACCAGCTACGCGATAAAACAGCTGTTCGCGAGGGCATTAAGCGAATGTTTCAGACACTTCATGTACAAATGTCAAACAATATAGAGACTGCTGACACATGTTTTGACACAATATAGTGCACACCTGATTATTTCCTTATTTATCTATAGCATTGATATCCTCGAAACATCTACGATGATAAATTAATGTCATTTTATGCATTAATACTCCACGACATCACTTACGGAATAATTGTTTGTAGTTTAACATCCCTGCAACATCCAGAGTCATAAGAATATGGGTGTCTATAGGGAGACAGGAACAAAGAGAAGGGAAACGATCATTCAAAATCTTTAGCAGGAAACAGAGGAGAAACCCTCCGATTATGCAGGGGGTCAACAAAACCTTATAGTTACGATGATATGCAAGGGTGTTGAACCATGCGAGATACTCTAAAGTCTGATCTGCGTTATCACATGGAAGCAAATACATCATAACACCTTGAATTGCCTTAAAATATTGAAATATTGAAATTTAATCATTTTTAATAATTGATAATATTAAAATATTATATAATATTGATAATATTGAAATGCCTTGAGTTTCTTATCTGACTCATTCATGAATATAAAGACATCGATTCCAAGTTTTCTTTGTATACGTACCATTAAGAAGATCTGGCCTTTTTTTGACAAACATCTTGATTACTGGTGATTCGGTTGGTTTAACATTTGTATTGAACTCTCTGGTATACGTTTTGCATTCCTTGTTATCGGGATCGTAGGTGACAGAATAACAGTCTATTTTACACATAGCTGCACACTTTATAGAGCTCAATGAATTCTGGTCCACGACAAAAACGTGATTCACGTAATCGGTGAGAGACACGTTAAATACACGCGTAAATGACGACATCATAAGTCCTTGAGCAGAGCAAGTTATGTAGATGAATACAAACATGGAAACATCCATGTTGAGTTGGGTTAATAACATCCTCACTTACAGTTGAATTAATCTGATGTAGTTCATGATGATAATATGTATTTTGAACGCTTCGACGTCATTGTTTCAGTGTTCCCACCCGAAGTCTTTCACGTCACTTTTTGCGTTGTCGTAGATATTCAGTATATCGATTATCCCCAACAGAATTTCTAGTAATACTTACGGATTGTCCATGCATATAACTGTAATGACATCAAACGAGTGACTTACAGACAGTCGCATTCGTTATTCACAAACGCTTAAGGTTATGTTTCCCTAAATCAGCGCTAAACTAATAAAGATATAATCAACAGATAATAAGGGTGGGAAAATGTTTTGGAAAAAATAATTAACAACGGCTTTTCTTATACAAGGCCAACTGGATACCTCAAAATTTAAATCACGCTGTTTTTTTCTTCATGTAAACATTTGTGACGTGATACTTTATTGACACTTATGGGATAATTTTCAATAATAAACAATATTGATTTACATTGTGTAGATCAACACCTCTTTAATTCCTGACTGTAGTTGATAAATGGACCAACGCGAAGGACAAACGAATCCTGATATATTTTATTTACAAAGGTGTTCAAACTGCATTCGACACCGTACTACACAAAGGGACTTATACAAACTTTAATGTCATACTGAAGAGGACCACGTAATTGTCAAAGGTAATGAATATATCTAAATACAGGACACAAAGTGTCACAATCAATAGCAACAACTCGGAACAGCAACTTATGACAGTATGGGTTCATCAATTGTATGCTTTACTGTTAATGATCTACCCGATACATTGGATGCAGAAGCATATTTGTTCGCAGATTACACAAGCATGTTCAAAATGTACTATACAAGGTTGTTGAAGCTACGCCTGTGGAAATGTGTCCATTTGCACATAGGAATGAAAAACTGGTACAATAGATTGGTTTTATTTTTTCCAGTCATATTAACAGTTAAAATCATTAAATGACGCGTCGCCATGTGTGATGTAAATGGGTATGTGTGTATGAATGTAGGTTAGTAGAGGCGGCATAATGGTGCATTTTCCTACTTGTGGTAGCGCGGATTTGGTGCCGACTTTATAGTGCTGTAGATGAATACAAACATGGAAACATCCATGTCAAGTTGGGTTAATAACATCCTCACTTACAGTTGAATTAATCTGATGTAGTTCATGATGATAATATGTATTTTGAACGCTTCGACGTCATTGTTTCAGTGTTCCCACCCGAAGTCTTTCACGTCACTTTTTGCGTTGTCGTAGATATTCAGTATATCGATTATCCCCAATAGAATTTCTAGTAATACTTACTGATTGTCCATGCATATAACTGTAATGACATCAAACGAGTGACTTACAGACAGTCGCGTTCATTATTCACGAACGCTTAAGGTTATGTTCCCCTAAATCAGCGCTAAACTAATAAAGATATAATCAACAGATAAAAAGGGTGGGAAAATGTTTTGGAAACATTAATTAACAACTGCTTTTCCTATACAAGGCCAACTGGATACCTCAAAATTTAAATCACGCTGTTTTTTTCGACATGGAAACATTTGTGACGTGATGCTTTATTGAAACTTATGGGATGCTTTTCAATAATAAACATTATTGATTTACATTGTGTAGATCAACACCTCTTTAATTCCTGACTGTAGTTGATAAATGGACCAACGCGAAGGACGAACGAATCCTGATATATTGTATTTACAAAGGTGTGCAAACTGCATTCGACACCGTACTACACAAAGGGACTTATACAAACTTTAATATCATACTGAAGAGGACCACGTAATTGTCAGAAGTAATGAATATATCTAAATACAGGACACAAAGTGTCGCAATCAATAGCAACAACTCGGATCAGCAACTTATGACAGTATGTGTTCATCAATTGTATGCTTCACTGTTAATGATAAACCCGATACATTGGATGCAGAGGCATATTAGTTCGCAGATTACACAAGCATGTTCAAAATGTACTATACAAGGTTGTTGAAGCTACGCCTATGGAAATGTGTCCATTTGCACATAGGAATGAAAAACTGGTACAATAGATTGGTTTTATTTTGTTCAGTCATATTAACAGTTAACATCATTAAATGACGCGTCGCCATGTGTGATGTAAATGGGTATGTGTGTATGAATGTAGGTTAGTAGAGGCGGCATAATGGTGCATTTGCCTACTTGTGGTAGCGCGGATTTGATTTCGACTTTATAGTGCTACCTTACTGAAATACTATGCCAAAGGCACCCTGCAAAGTATTCTACCAGGTCTCATTATATTGACAAATGGTAAATTTATAGTAACAATACCAAAAATTACTGAACGTTAAGCAGGGAATAACAACTGCCAGTTTAAGGACTTTTGTATGTTTCGGCCTGGTGACAGAACCCACTACCTATACCTCACTTGGGCGAACTTTCAACACTAAGGCCGAATGCGGGGCATCGCCAATGAAGGATTTGATTAATAAAAAATTGTTGTTCGAATGGACCGAAAAAACCCAGAAACATTCCAAAAGTTTCTTTTGAATCGGCAGATCAATTGTGGTTTCACCAATGTCTCATTAGAAGGAGACACCGAACAAAAACACAGATTTTGCCGGGGGTGGGGGCAGTTTAATCGCATTTAACGACATGTATTGGGATACAGCAGATTTTCCCCGAGCATGCAGGTGTGAATAGTTATAGAGGATATTAATCCTGTACCAAAAAAGTCATTAAATGGTCTTAAATGTCATATTTTGCATGTTTAACCTGGACATATTCGGGAAGGTTGCGTATGTGCCTCATGATTTGTTGATTTATCCTAAATATAGGAGATCTGACAAAATAAACAATGACGATGCAACTTGCACGCTACCTGAGCGTGATTCCTCACCCTGATTATATTGAGAAACTTGTTTGTAGCGCAAAATGTCAATAAAAGACCCACTTTTTATGCTTTATTCTGAAAACCCTAAAACCTTAGTTTAGCCTCATCGTTTGGTTTCTTAATTCGACAGACGAAAAAAAACTAACTTCGTGCTTTATACAAGAGGTTTATTTCAATTAACCAAAATCAATCTATCGACGCTAGTTAATACATTAAATCAATACTTGACAAACACTTCATGGTAAGCTCGGCGAAATATTCTGATCGGACAGGTATGTAGTAAATCTATAAGTTTTGTTGTGTCGTAGCGTACGCGTTTGTATTACCATCCAACAATACATGGTTATCAACCAATGGAAAGAGTCGTTTCACGAATTCGAATTATAGACTTGTTAAATGTTTTCTTGTGCAGCATGTGGCAAGCTCCTGCCAATTCGTGGAAAGATTCGGACTGCGGTATCCAACCAGGGGCGTTTCTAGGATATTTGAAAAAGGGGGCGTAGAATGAAATCTTTCGCCGAGCGGAGGTCATTGAAGGACGAGCCTCCATGTGTGTAGTGTATGCAGGAGACAGGGTATGTTGGTGTTTTGTTTAACGTCATATCAACAGCTAAGGTCATTTAAGGACGAACCTCCATGTGTGTAGTGTATGCAGGAGACAGGGTATGTTGGTGTTTTGTTTAACGTCCTCGCAACAGCCAGTGTCACATGAGGAGGTACCTAGGAAGACACCGCCTGAAGCAGAAAGTAGATAGAAAAGAAAGAAGAAAATAACGATGGGAAACGGAAAAGAGTCAAAGTGTTTCAATGGGGGCAGCAGATTAATGTTGGTTTCCCCCATGTCCTCTTCGTAGAAGACATGGAAGAAAACCTCCGATTCGTCAGGGGAGGGCGCATTAGTCGCCTGTTACGATACACATGCAGTGGGATACAGCAGGTCTGTTCTTGATTTCTTCAATAGAAGACAAGGCAGAAACCAACCCCGATTATGCAAGGGGGGGGGGGGGGGGGGCACATCAGTCGCAATTTGCGATCATGAAGTCGAAGATGACTTAACCTACATTTTCTTTCTCAGATCCGTCATCAATTGAAGTTTCACTAAAGGCAATTCGGAACCCCATGTATAATCTCATAATTCATTTAATACAAGAGCGTCTTCTTTTGCTTCATATCTTAGAATAACCTCCACATACAGGTTTGTATACCGATGGTTCTATATAACAAAGTTCTTAAAAATGGTAGTTTGTATTTGCTGCTTAACGTGCGGCATTTAGGGTAAGCGCAAAGAATGTTTTATCCGTTGTCAGTATAATTTGACGGCGTAATGCTGTGCTGGGTCCCTTCGACTTAGTATTACAATAATATAGGTAATTTCAGTCGGCATCAGGTCCGCAAGGAGTCAAATAGACCAACATTCCGCCTCCTACCACACTTGCATATATAACACAGACAGAAGTACTTAGAAGACCTTCGTCGTTTATAATACGTAAAATCCAATGAACCAAACCATTATTGACTTACAGACAGGCGCCTTAACTAATTAATAATGTATACTTCAGGTTTGTTTTTCTCAGTCTTTGAGTACATGTTCTACATCATGGTTCGACTAATGTTTAATAGAAAAGTCGGCTCTGGAAAGTCAATAAGTCTGTACTATATATAAGCATGCAATAGGTGCAAAGAAAGCAATCAAAATTAATCTAATATACCCATTGCTTTTGTTGGGATCTATATATATATTGTCTCTCATTTTTAACCACTTTTTGTTTCAAAACGCCTTTCTTGGCAATATTACCCTACAGGTTGGGAATCGAGAAAAAAATATTGCAA